CCCAGGCTGGAATGCAGTGGCTGCAGCCTCAACCTCCCAGACTCAAGCAATCTTCCCATCTCAGCCTTCCAGTAGCTGGGACTGCAGGTGCACAACAATATGCCAGGCTAATTTTTGTATTTTTTGTAGAGATGGGGTCTCACTATGTTACCTGGCTGGTCTCGAACTCCTAGGCTTGAGTGATATATCCACCTCAGCCTCCCAAAGTGTTGGGATTACAGGCATGAGCCACTGAGCCCGGCTTATATTCTATTTCTTGATTTTTCTGGGTGATGGTATTTGCTTGTTTACTCTTTAAATATTTCTTGAACTATATACTTATTACTGGCACAATCTGTATGTTATGCTGCCATTAAAGTTTATAAGAAAGAAAGAGAGAGAGAGAAACAGGGGGAGAGAGAGAGACAGAAAGAGAGAGAGAATGCACCGCAAGGAGCTGCTAACTAAAGAGATAAAAAGTAACGAAAAAAATACTTAGAAAGATTAGAAGAGAAATTTGTGAGCAGAGTATATAACATCAAATATTCTCAGTCTATGCAAGCCAATCTTTTAGTAAATGTATTTCAGTAGAATACATATAGTAAGTGTATTTACAGATTAGAAACACTGATGTTGGTTAATAATATAATATTGAAAACAAACAGTGCTGTGAGCATAAAATAAAGTAATATTAGTGACACATTAGTGAGGCTTCATAAAGAGAGTTAAGCAAGCATTGTCTAAAGGGAAGCAGCCGGCTGCTCTGAGCATTTGGCTTTACAAATTCTTTATTAAAATGTGATAGATTTGATCATTAAACATCGTATATGTGCATCAAAATATCATACTGTACCCCATAAATGTGAACAGTTTATTATGCATCCATTAAAATAATAATAAAAGCAAGAAAAAAATTGCTGCTAGCTGATATGTGACCACTTGACTTGTGACTTCTCACCCTTAAATGAGGGGCATGTGTCACATGGTCTCTATCAAATGAGGGCTACTGAGCTCTGAGGTGGGAGGGGTCTCTGAGACTACAGTAGAAACGTCATAAGATTAGGCTATAAGGGCCCAGTAGAGTCACTGTCCAAAGCAGAAACCAAATCAAGGATACAGTTAATACGAAACATTGACCCAGCAGACATCCAGGTTCTGAAGAGCTAACCACACAGCAGGTGTAGTTGGAGCAGGAACAGGGGTAACATCAGGAGCTTCCTTTTCTGCAGGACAGAAAGCCAGAATATCACCAAAGCCAGAGAGGCTCTGTAAGGTCCTCAACACGAGTCTTGTTGAAGAGAAGGCCAACCAACAGCCTGTCCACAGTTAACCAGGCAGCAGGTGTGTGACTGCATGTTCCTCTGCCCTGAGCCAAGCAGGAGTGCACACCTGACAGCTGGTTCTGGCAGCCAGACACTGAGAGGCACCAAACCGGGAGTCCCTCTCTGAGAGGAGCCCAGGATGTGCAGGTGGGAATGCAGGTGATTTCCTCTGTATCACACCTGCCTGCTAAATAGCTCTCTGTTGGTTTGTTATCCTTTCTCTTCCACAAAGAGGAGATTTCCAGGGAACAAACGCAGACTGTTAGATACACACATAATCTTTTTGGAGATGGTGGCCGAGTGAAGAGATAAATAGAGCTTGAAGAAGGAAGTTAAGAAAACTAAGATAATCAGAAAGAATGAGTGAGAAAAGCAACCTCAGGAACTTCTGGGTGGTATGGTAGGGAGGACGAGGAAAATCCATAATTAGGATAATCTGCAGATAGATTATAGATAATTCAGGCCCAAGCATCAGAGCTTGCAATTCTAATCAGCTCATGCAACATCATGTTTGCAGTGTTCACCATTTCTAATATCCAAGCATCATCTTTTAGAGTCACAAATACTATAATTCATCACATCCAGGCATGCAAAATCATCCTTTTTCTAACATTAAACATGTTTAATTACAACAATTTATAATAGTGCGTTAAGACTTTAATGAAAGGAAGGCATTTGATACATGATATTTACAGTAATCATAATACTACAATATTTAAAGTATGAATTTTGACAGTGTTAGAGCAGGAAGCCAAATTGTCCATATTTTTAGTTAATTATTTGAAATGCTTTTGAGGGGACTCAGCATCCAGAAATTAATAGTTTTCCTCTGTGCAACTGTCAGTGTCACCACTGGTTACTGCTACTGGCTGCCAACCCTTTTATATTATCACTGTAGTGGCAGTCAGCGATTAATGCTAACCACTTGTCCTAATAGCCAAATGCCAAATGTTATACCACATGCAGGATTATAATTATGCTTTAGGAAGTGGATGGGTTTGGCTTTGTTAGCCAAGAATTAACCACAAATTTGGAGGCCACCGGAACTAGTGCTTGCAGAATGTATCTGTGACACCTCAGTGTTGGCGTTCTTAGGATGTTTTTCAAGGATAGCAGTTTTGTAGAAAGCTAAGAGCCTTGAAATCCTTTTCCTAAGGGACCTAAACGTTTCTTTGTCAAGCTCGAAAGGTTCCCTCTGCCATCTCTTCTGGGATCAGTCAAATTTACACACATTCCAGCTTCACTTAAGTGGAATTCAAGTTCCTGTGTAGGTATTCGCCGTTAACCACATGTAACATGCTTCACAGCCCTTTGTGACATGTGTTTATTTGAAAAGGTAAGTCCGTAAACCAGTGCCTTCCTTGTATTTTACAAGTTTTCCCTGACTCAGGGAAACAAAAGGGGGTCCTCCATCATCAGGCAGCAATGTGGGACACAGAGTAAGGTAAGGAATGTTACCTGGATTACTGCCCACAGCCTCCTCAATAATAAAACAGTGTCAAGGCAGAGCAGCATCTCACACTGTTAAGAGTTCAGATTTTGCCAGGCTCAGTGGCTCACACCTGTAATCCCAATGCTTTGGAAGGTGGAGGTGAGAGCATTGCTTGAGCCTAGGAGTTCAAGGCTACAGTGAGCTATTATCAGGCCACTCACTGCACTCCAGCCTGGGCAACAGAGTGAGACCCTGTCTCTAAAAATAAAAATTAACAACAACAAAAAAAGAATTTAGATTTCTACTGACTTCAAACTTCAACACAATCATGACCACTGAAATAAGAGGAACATTACAAACCCTCAAATCAAAACCAAAGCCCATTTTTCCAAATAGGTGTGGAAAGTGTGGACTCACCCAAGGATCCACTTATAGCAAGTGCCCAGGACACCCTGCATGCTTTCTGTGTTCTAATGTTGCCCTCGCTTCATTTGTTCCTCTGCTTGGTTCCTTTTGTCCTAATTTATTTTCTTGGTACCACTATTATAATTAATGATAATTATCCATTCTAATTTAGTTTTTTTGCATTTTCTAAAACACTTAAATCTTCTTTAAATAAGATAGAATATCATTATGTTTGAACTATATGAGATACCCTAAATCCTTCACTCAAAGCTTACTTACTTTTTTCTATGTACAATTTTAATAAATTCAGTCATCCAATTTCATAGCGCACAGCAACTCAGAAGACCACAGCTGACAGAAGGAGTGGTTGTTGACATAGTACAGTATAGCAAACCTACTCAGCAGATGTTGAATGCAACAGTAAATAGATAAATGAGTAAATTAGTAGGTGAGTAAGACCTTAGAGCTCACCAAGGAGAAGGTAGAAATCATTTAAAAACACATATAAGAAGCAACAACATAACAGTCAGGGTCCACTTGATATGGGTGTGACCTCTCTGGAGGTTTCAAAAGCCTTTGATGATTATAGAACCACAGTTTATTTAATTTATTATGATTTTTTTTTTGAGACGGGGTCTCACTTTGTCACCCAGGTTGGCGTGCAGTGGCACCATATCAGCTCACTGCAGCCTCAACCTCCTGGGCTTAAGTGATCCTCCTGCCTCAGCCTCCAAGTAGCTGGGACCACAGGAGTGCCACCACACCCAGCTAATTTTTGTATTTTTAGTAGAGATGGTGTTTCACCATGTTGGCCAGGCTGGCCTCGAACTCCTCAGCCCAAGTGATCTGCCTGCCTTGACCTCCCAAAGTGCTGGGATTACAGACGTGAGACAGCATGCCTGGTGAAACTATAGTTAATATTGATAAGTAATAACTCCATTCCTTCAAGAAAAAAGTCAGAGTATTTTGAGGAATCTTTGTTTAAGAAGACAGGTATGTGTATCACACACCTTAGAAAACTTTTCATTTGAAAACAACAAAATTTAAAACATAAAACTCCAGGGTGGGGAAATTTCCAGCTGTCTGGAAAATTCCCTTCTTTGCTGTGCCTCATTCCATGCCCATGCCCAATGCCTGGAGTGATGATGAACTCATATTGCTAGTTCTCAGGTGGGAATGACGCCTCAGGAAAAAACACTGTGGGTAAATAATGCTTTCTGCACTAGTTTCTGACTCACTCCATGGTGATGTGGTGGGAGCAATTCCAACCAACCCCAGCATGGTGCTAGCATCCTGAAAGGGAGCGTGTTACCAGAGGAAGAGAGAGCTCAGTGCAAGCATCCAATAATTCACTCTCTTTCTCCACCAAGCGGTTACTCCTTAAGACCTCTTAACTGAATGACTTACAGAGCGACCTGATTCCCCTCATTGCCTGTGTGCACCAAACCTTGGTTTCTGCAACTTTACAAAAAGAGAAGTTCTTGGTTGTGTGCTGAGAACGTTTTGGACAAAGGATGCTTCACGAATGGAAGACGTTATATAAATGTTACTATTATTTGAGACTTGACTCCTCTGGAGACAAAAATCACAGCCCTAGACCATGGCAATCACAGCCCTCGACCATGGCAACCACAGACCCTAGATTTCCCCAGAGCTGACTCCGTCCAGTCTATTTTCCACTTGAGCACAGGAAGCAGCACAAAGTAAAGGCTAGGGTTTCAGGAGAAAAGCAGGTTTGTTATCACGAACCTGTTTTCCCCGGCCAGTTAAATAGAGGCAATCATAGCCAGCAGGCTCAAACCCACACTTTTCTCAATTACCGTAGGGAAACAAAGATTGACTTACTCTTTTTCTGTTTACAGAATTACGCAAAACTTATTCCTGGAGCTACAGTAGGGCTACTTCAGAAGGACTCCGGAAACATTCTCCAGCTGATCATCTCAGCTTATGAAGTAGGATATTTTACAGCTGGCATCTTTTTTGCATTTCTTTGGTATTCAAAAACTAAGATGTGATTTAGGCAGTTAAATGTTAGTTACTTGCTGGTAGAGAGAGTGCTTATCCAAAAAATGTCTCTGCATGAATGCAATCAAAATATAAATTTTGTTCATTTTGCTTGCTGATCTTCTTCCTGGAAGGTGGAGCTGAAGATAGAAAAATCATAAAACTGATCATAAAGTTGAGGTTGTTTTTATAATAACAAGCAACAGCAACATTGTTGCCAGCAAAATTTTAAAGCCTCCGTGAGTCATACAATTAAGCTCTCCTCTGTCTGAAAAAAATGAAGTTTAAATTGCCAGTGAGTGACAGAGTGATGTAGAGAGCTAACTCCACAAGCTTGACGATACTAGGTCATAACTCAAGCAAAAATACAAGTGCTGGCTGTGCACCAAAACACCGGTACACAAGGAATGCCACTTTTTAGTCTCTATACTTTTGGGAACTAGGGACATTTTCCACTCGTTTATGAGTAGGTGTGTAAACTTTTGCTTTGACTTTGGGAATTAGTACCTGAGGACAGAATTCCTCCCTTAAAATTAGAACATATACCTATGGCGTTGTTATGTTCTCATTCTTTGTCTCCATTTCATAACTCCGTTAGTCAACAATGGATGGCCGGTTGTCAATTATTTTTAATTTTGGTTCCTAAATATCATCCCCCCCTTTTTTTGCCTCTATTGACAAAGAAATACACATGCAGAGAAAGAAAGAAGAAGCCCTAAATTAGGATAGGAATGAAAAAAAGGAAAATTTTTAGTAAGGAGTAAAGCTCTAGTATTTACTGTAAACAGCAACTATGTAAGAACAAGTGAATAACAATTCTCCTGATTTTTGATGTTTTAAAATTACAAAAAAAAAAAAGGCCCATATGTAATATATGCCAACATTTAGCGTGTACTGAACCAGCATTCCTTAAATAAAATGACATATCAGAATCAACATGGAAAGTTTTTAAAAATAGGCCTATCCAGATTCCTCTCACAGACGTCTTTGAAGGACTTTAGGGGAAATGAGAGCTATATATTTTGGAAAGAAAAAAAAAACTTTCCAATAATTTTGACGTTGGCCTACCAATTTTGAAACTACCCTGAAGGAAGAAAAGCAAGATATTCCTTCTCAAGTATTTCATTTCTTCAGAAAATAAAAATACAGATGTGCCCATTAAAATTATAGGATGATGGTTTGGTTTGGTTTGTTTTACGGATAGCCTCAGAAATTTCAGTTTTCTTAGGTCACATCAAATTAATCACCACGTTAGCTCATGCTTGAAATTCTTCCAGACAGGAATGCTCATCCACAAAACGCTATAAAAACCTTCCTCCCTCTCATGCAGTAATTAAAGTTTTAATTTGTAGAATCAAATAAAATCACACAGCAATCCTTCACTGTATTAGAATGCACTCCATTTTTTCGAACCCAATACTCTCAACAGTGTTGGCCACTAACATCTTCAGAGAAACTAAGCAGACTAGAAAACACTGAATTGTCAAAAATATTTCCCCCTCCAGTGAGAGCAGCCCCCATGCCTCTGCTTGCTCTGCCAGAGGTTACGGCTCACTTTATGATCTCAAATACTTACGTAACTTACAGGATAGTTGAAATCAAGGCATCAAACATTCGAGTTAAGTCTTCCGTCCTTGTTTTACTATCTCAGAAATACTAAGACGTGTCTATTATTCTTAAATGAAACCATCTTGCACTGGAGTTATTATTGGAACTTTATGATTCACAAGGCAAAGTCTGTAATGGATCCTGGCACTAGTTCAAATTATTTTTCTACTGTTATTTCTAAATGTATACTAAAAAGAATTTAAAAATATGAGGACCCATAGGCTGAATTTCTTTCTAGTCTATAAAAAGAGAGAGAAGGAAAGAGAATACTTTGAAAGAAAACGTAAAATGCTTCTGATGGACCTCTAGTAGGGCAGAGGTAGACAATTTGTGTTTATAACTTTGTGGCTACTAACTTCAGCTCAGTATTTTACAGTGCCATATTGATATTTTTAAAAAACTTAAATACCAATGTGTACTTATCTGATCATCATTCACTAATGTCCTTTCTTCCCTAATCGTATAATAAAGGCTACCAAAATATCAGCAATTCCAAGGATAAGTTCCTCTGCTGGTGTTTAAATCCCAGGAGGGAATTGACTTGGTTTCTTTTGTTTTTCCTGGTTCATAAGAGATGCTCAAAAAGTGAATGGATGAAACGATGAAAACTACAAATAAGCATTTATGTCCTTTCTTTGGGAAATTCAGACTAAAATATTCCTGGTCAAATTTGCAATATGCTGTTAAATTACAGTAATGCTGAAATTTCCTTTACTTAGATCAGATCATGTCATCCACTAGTCCTTATAATTGCTGTCACAGTCTTTTAGCTCATATCCCTTAACTTTTATTTAGCTCCCAACTTTATCTCCAACATTGCTTCTATTTTAATCTTATTATTTCGGCATAAGCAGATTTTGGAGGAAGGCAGGGTCATTTTACTATACATTTGGCGAAATTACACATAAAGTATCAAAGCATCTCATTTCTCCATAAATATATACACCTATTACATACCCACACAAATTTAAAGTAAAACAAATTTTTAAAAATTACACTTAAGGGAAATTCGAAGCTGAATATGCTTTTTAAATGCCAACAAGAAAATGGATATGTGGACTTAAAACTTTTGGATTAACTGAAGCATAAATTTATTTATAGTATTTTAAAATTGGTTTTATTCTGTTTTTTTATTTTTCATAATTTGGTTTGCTTCACCTACAATACAGACTTTTGTTTTATAAGTGAACAAGGAATAAAGAAAGTAAGATAATAAACTTCTTGAGGGCAGAAGGCTTTCTTACAGTATTCCCCAGACCTAACTCTACACTAAATGTGCAATAGGTACTAAATACATTCCAATATTGATTTTAAGGCACACTTTCCCCCCACATTTTAACATCTCTAAAATTGAGCTCCATCTTACAACTGATGGTGAGTTACAATCACCATTGTGGTGCCAGGCAGCAGTCATGATGTAGTTTTCATGGACAATTGTGATTGTACTCACTTCAATTAGTTAAAGGCATTGTTGCTACTTAAGTATTAAGTTTAATTGCTGTTTTAACATATCTTTAAAAGTGTGTACTATGATTCGATATTGAAATGAAAAGTTTATTATGTATGCAGAAATGTACCAAAACAGAGCAGCAGGGTGTAAATTTGATATCAATGAAGCAAATATTCATTGGTGGAGGAATGACTTCAATTCTGGATTCTTTGCAAAGCAACAAACAGCTGGTTTACGGGAGCTAAGAAATCATGATACACATAAAGGAAGCTGTTGTTAAATTTTGTTACTGAGATATATGCAAAAGAATTGCCTTTTATGTGCCAATCTGCGCAACTCAGGGCAGGAGAATTTGCCAAATCCTTCAGAATGGATAAAATAATTTTCAAAGCAATGGTAGATGGATAGGACTGATTCATATGTTGTGCAGAACCATCTTGAGGTATTTTGTCATAGTTTAATGTCATAAGATAATGGTGTATCTTATAATTGTTGGCACCTTAGATTTGATAATATATAAAATGTATGTATGATTGCTCACTTTCTTGCTTTTGATTGGTAATATACTGAATTTCTTTTGACACCCAATTTAGTTTTATTCATTTGTAGTTCAATGAACATGATTCAGTTTCTTCTTCTGGCTATATTTTTGGGGTTGTGACTTCACTGAACTCTTTATATTGTAACTAAAGGAACTGCGGTCTGAGGTGGAACTGGAAGTATTAGGAGACACTGAAGGACTCAACTTGTCATTTACAGCCATCTGTAACAACGGTACATTCTTCCAACACCAGAAGAAATGCTCTCACATGAAAGTGGGAGACACAGTAAGTAGCTGTCCAATAGATTGTCTGAATAAATACCTGGAAGGGTCAGAAGTTAGCTGAGCTCACTGAAGTTGGATTTCTTTCAAGAATTTTAAAAGCAATTTTCAAAGATTTTCTAGTAAATGCTTTTGGCAAAGCTGATTTCCGTGAAGCCTTGTTTCACCTCATGCATTTTGGTGGATGGAGGGAGATAATTAGTATTTTCTTTTCCAGGCTTCCTTCAACGTGACTGTGAATATCCCAAACTGTGAGAGAAGAAGCAGGCACATTATCATAAAGCCTGTGGGGCTGGGGGACGCCCTGGAATTACTTGTCAGTCCAGAATGCAACTGCGACTGTCAGAAAGAAGTGGAAGTGAACAGCTCCAAGTGTCACCACGGGAACGGCTCCTTCCAGTGTGGGGTGTGTGCCTGCCACCCTGGCCATATGGGGCCTCGCTGTGAGTGTGGCGAGGACATGCTGAGCACAGATTCCTGCAAGGAGGCCCCAGATCATCCCTCCTGCAGTGGAAGGGGTGACTGCTACTGTGGGCAGTGTATCTGCCACTTGTCTCCCTATGGAAACATTTATGGGCCTTATTGCCAGTGTGACAATTTTTCCTGCGTGAGACACAAAGGGCTGCTCTGCGGAGGTAGGCTATGTCGAAATTCATCTTACCCTGTGGCTGCTCAAGTATCAGCAAGGGGGTTGGCATCCTCTGCACCTTCCACAGTTTCCTGGGCATAGTAGGTGCTCAATAAATATTTGCTGATCAGCCTTAGACCACGGGTAACTGAATCTTCTCTTGCAGGTTTTCTGGCTCTAACATTCACTTGGGGTGAGATTTCTGCCAACTGAGCTTATGTCTATTTTGTTTCCCTAAGCGTAGATGAAAGATAAAAGGGCCTTCTCTCTGGCTGTCACCCGGACTCTACACAAGTGCCTATAATAGGAACTCCATTGCCTTCCAGGTTTTTCTGGACCAAGCTGCTGTGTCTGACTGTTACCTTTTAAATGTATATGACTTTGGAAAAGTGAAAACTAGATAGACTGCTAAATGAGCATGCTACCAAGGATAAAGACCACAAAAATATATTAAATGGGCTTTCAGGGCCTTCATTCATTCCACAAATATTTATTAAACACCTACTATGTGACACATACTAGGTTAGGCACTGGGCATAAGAAAGATGAGTAAGTGCATATGTGAAAAGGCTGCAGGAAGGACAAGGATGGAAAATAACTTGGAATATCTTGAGAAATTTGAGAAAAATTTAAAATAGAAATATGTATGTTTTAATATCCTATGTAGATGTAAAATCACTATAGTTTAAGGATATATTGCATATGACTATTGTAAAATTCTTTTTTATATATACACATATATATGTGTAATCTATTCAGAAAAGAATTACAGATATGTTAATATACTCTTAAACTATATAAATTTGTCTTATAGATTGAAATATTAACTGAATGCTGAATTCAAGCTTCAGTGTCTCTGTTCTTCACACTCTGTAAGCAGACAGCTATTCAAATCAGAAAGCCATTATCTTTACAGAAAACTAAGCAAGTTATGTTTTTAAAAGACAGTGTTAGGAACATATAAAAAAGACTAATTTGGGGGGGAAAAAGACCTGAAAGAAAGAAGCATCAAAGAATTCCAAGCTTTCTGAAAACCATTTGATACCCTTAGAAGTGTACCTACCTTTCATTTCTTTGCTGCTGCTGTTGCAACCAGTAAGTTCTTCTGAGAATATATGCCTTTTTCCCTCCAGAGAGTGAAAAATGTATGGTCTGTTCTGATCGAGACACATTTCTCTCCCTTTTCATCCAAAGGTTGATTTCCTGGTTTAATAGGTATGTTTCCAAACCCACATCAGTCCTCTTTTCACATGATGCAGATGGGGCACAATCTGAAGGTGACAAGAAGCCAGCCAAAGGCCGTCGCCACATCACAGAGAGGATATATTGGGCAGAATCCCATACTGCATGTCTAATAGAAATCTTGTAATAAAATACATGTTCAAAACACTTGAAATTACCTTTCAAAAAGCCCTAAGTGTAATCTAACAAAATATAATAGAGATACTAACACGACCTGTATTTCACCCTTTAAATCTTGGATCAAAGAGATCTAAGGCAGTATAAAATTCTGAACTGTGTTTAGCAACAGAGCTTTCCTTGATGGTCTTTCACTTTATTTTGTACCATGCATGAGGAACAGAAATAAACTAAAAAAGAGTTGACTTGATCTGTGGATTGTAGCTAGGAAGGTCTGACAACAGTGCCTCTCTTTGAGTCAGATACAGTGATTGCTACAGAAATTCTATTTAGAAAATACGATTTATTTAGCTAGATTCAGAAAACTTCACCAATGCCAATTTCCTTCAGCCATTCCTGTTTCTCAAAAGCTATTTTGGTTTTTAGTAACATCACAAAGGATGTTGCTCTATAATTAGTAACTTTTCTTTCAAAAGGTATAATGAAAGTAAAGGCAATTATAACAAATGGTTAACAAATGGTTATGGAGTACCTACTATGTGCCTGGCATTGTGCTTAGTGCAGGGACAAAAATTGTGCCTGGTATTGGAATAGACACGCTACTGCTGCTGTAGTTTTATGTGCAACTGAGGATCAAACATGCTACAGATCACCACTTGTGTGGATCTCCAGTTTATAACTAATATACTCAGCAATGTGCCACTTTTCTGAAGAGCTATTATCGAAATGTTCTTTTTCATACAGCTTCTTTCATCCATCTGTAAGCACTCAAAGATACAGAGCTCCATTGATTTTTTTTTCTTGCCCAAATTCCATTAGTCTCCTATATTTTGATTCTAAGAGATGGAAACTAATAGGCAAATGGCATTAGAGAAACACTTGCTGCCATTATGCGCTTACAATTACTGTCAATGGCATTCCAGAAAGATTCATCCCTCTGAAATACCATGGTAATTTTTTCTTGATCTTTGGTTATCATTTTCTCCCTCCATGAAACCAATAGGACAGTTTTGTTGTTGTTGTTGTTGCTGTTGTTGTTGTTGTATGAACCAGTACTCTAGATAATTGGTTGTTTGAGGATATCGATTAGCAACTTTGGAAACCAGGTCAGTGGCTCTGGAAGGCCAGCACAGAGGAGGGCTTCTAAATTCGGAAAGGAGCGCCATGTTTTTGCCGTGATGGTCCTTTTCTACTGCTCCAGGAAGGATTTTCTAAATTTCTGCCAAGTTCTTCCTACATGCAATGATATACTTGAGCATTCTCAAAGCATTTGGAAATGCATCTTTTATTTAATAATATTTGTAAATCATATTAATTTTCCAGAATCAACTGTAATATGGAATTTCTTCCTGTTATAAAAGTAAGTTTCCCCTTTTGTTGAGGAAGAAACTAAAAGATATTGTAGTTTAGAAGATCATTTATAGCTAAAAATGAAATGAATGCCTTTGTCCCAAATCATTTAGTTATTCTTTGCTTTGAATTAATTATGTCAACTATAAATTGCATAGGTTATGAAATGCAGTTGAAATATATCTTAATATCATGAATCCAGGTAAATTTCAACTCATCTTTCATTAGACAACGCACACAAACACACACTTTAAGATGGTGTGAAAGTGATATAAATTTAGTATGTTGCTCGACTTACAGTGATGTTATGTCTGGATAAGCCCATTATTTTACATTTTACAATGAGTTTATCTAGACATAATCCTATCACAAGTCCAGAAGCATCTATACATACATGCATGTATGTGTATATAGAGAGAGTATATAGAGAATATATAGAGAAAGAGAATATATATGTATATACACATTAGTCATCCACCACGTAATGACGATTTTGTCAACAACACAGCACATATACGATCATTGTCCCATAATTTTATAATACTGTATTTTTACTGTACCTTTTCTATGTCTAGATACACAAATGCTCACCATGGTGTTACAATTGCCCCCAGTATCCAGTACAGTAACATATTGTATAGGTTTATAGCCTAGGAGCAATAGGCTATACCATATAACCTAGGTGTGCAGTAGGTTTACCATCTAAGTTTGTGTAAGTATACTTTATGATGTTTACACAATGATGAAATCACCTAATGATGCATTTCTCGTTACATATTCCCATTGTTAAAAGACACATGACTGTGTGTGTGTGTGTATGCACACATATATACATACATGTATATATACATATATGCACACACATACCTAGAGAAATCAGAATCCAACTTCAAAATCTTTGTGGCTATCATCTTTGTTTGGTGATTTTTGACCAAAGAATTAAGCCCAGGACTCTCCTGCTCCAAGTTCCTTAGAGCCCAGTCATCAAGATAGAAAAGTAAGCCACTTGCTAGACCAAAGTTTACAAGAGAAAGTCCACAATTCTTCCTCCTACAGTGAACTTGGCAGTGTCTCCTACAAGTAGAATCCTGTTTCACTTGTGATTTTTTTTCTACATCCACTTGGTTTTCAGTAAAAGTATAGGAATTTTAATACTGATAGATAATTTTGTTTACAAATTCTTCCTACTGGATAGTTTTCAGAAATAATGCCAGTAACTAACACTTGTACAGTGCTTATTTATGGGTCAGGTACCGTTCTAAACACTGTTACATACTGTCTTAGGTAATCCTAAATTTTGCTGGAAGAGCAAAACTTATGAGGCAAAATGCCTAATGCACATTTCTTTCTTTCTTTTTTTTTTTTTTTCCGAGAAAAGTATCAGTTACGGGAGTTTGCAAATAAATGTTATTTGTTTGGAACATCCAACACCTATGTTAGTGTCTTACACATGGTAGGCACTCAGAATAATATTATGGAAATAACACACAAGTCCATTATTTTAAACACTTTTAAAATCATTTTTGAAGTATTTCATACATCATTAAGTGGCCATATCCAAAGGGGCTCTTTAGGATTAGATGGGTTACTTGTCTACAACAAAAGTGTCCAGGTACCTCCCTCTTTAACAGTCTCTGCCCCACGCCTCTGCAACATCACTTCTGCTCCCCTCCTACCTCTCGGTCTCTTCTGTAGGGATCCTTTTTTTCTGATCACATTTTAAGTCCTGAAGCTCTCCAGAGTTTTTCTCACTCTGCCTACTTGCCCTAGATGACCTGATCCATGAAAACTTCAACTACCACCTTTCCCTAATGGATCCCAAACCCCAAACTTCAGGCCCATATATATATTCAACCTCCTACTGGGATGTCCCACAGGCCCCTTGAGCTCCTCAGGGCCAAAATGAACTCATCATCTTCCCCATCCAAAGCTGCTTGTCCTCCTCTGCTTCAATAATTAGGTTCTACTCTGTGCCAGGTATTGGTGATACGGCAGTGACCATGAGCTAACTTCCACTCCAGTTCAGTGAAAAGCCACATCATCCATCTAGCTGCTCAGTCTAGTCACCTGGGGAGAATTCCATCCCTCTGTCTCTTCCCTCAACCCTCCACCTGGCACCAATCGCACCCACACCCTGAGCATTCCATGCCCGAATATATATTCTTTCCTCACTGCTCCCATGGGCACTGCCTTGGTTCATGGTCTCATATCTTCTTGCCTCTACTCCTGATTTTTCTATCTGTAGCTTGACCTGTCTACTGATACTAAAAAATGTCTAGACAAAACTTTCAGGATAGAAGCTCTTCCTTTAGCCAATAAGGCTTTTCATGGTCTGACTTCTGACTTTTTGTTGTCCTTTCCATTTCCCCACCTGCCACACTCCATATGCACCTTTGGCTCTATCCATAGGAAAGTTTTGTGGGTGTTAAGCAGGTCGAATGATCCCACATGCATTCCTGAAATGCATAGAACCTTTTTTTTTTTTTGTATTGTCTACCTGTATCTTTCAAATTCAGCTCAAGCATCACTTCCTTTGGAACCCTCAAATCTCCAGTCTAATTTGGAAACTATTCCCCTATGTATATTTATTAGTAGTAGTATTCGTTAGCCTGCCTCCTACACTAAATTATAAGTTCGATGACCTTGTCTTATTTAATTTTATATCCTCATACCTAATACAATCTTTGGCACATAGTATATGCTCAATTAAAGTGTGTTAAGTAGTGAATTTTTTGAGCACTCAGTGTATGCCTATGGGATTTCTAACTGGTGAATGCAAAATTAGGAGATATATACATTATCTCATCCAGTCACAAGCATTGAAAGTAGAATTTATTCCGTCTGTTTTATAGATGAGATGCTCATGATCCACAACTTGAGTGATATAGAGGGGTGGGCTTTAATCCAGGTCTGTCTTGCATCATTATCCTATGGCATCTTAACTAAAAGCAAAAAATAAAAATAAATAAATAAATATGCATAGAGACACACATTCACATCAAATATCTTTTACATGCTTTCTGGATTACCTCATTTGGTCTGATTACAAATTCTATTTCATGTAATATGTGGATAAAAAGAGTCAAACTATAAAATATTTGAAGAGATTTATTCTGAGCCAAATATGAGTGACCATGGCCCGTGACACAGCCCCAGGGGATCCTAAGGACCTGTGCCTGAGGTGGTCAGGGCACAGCTTGGTTTTATGCATTTTAGGGAGACATAAGACATCAATCAATACATGTAAGATGTACATTGGTTCTGTTCAGAAAGGTGGGACAACTCAAAGGGGATGGGCAGGGCTCTCAGGTCATAGTGGTTGGTGATTGGCTGAAAGAGTTTATCTAAAGACCTGGAATCAATAGAAGGGAGTACCTGGGTTAAGATAAGGGGTTGTGGAGAACAGGGTTCGTATTATGCAGGTAGCAGGCTTCAGAGAGAACAGATTGCAAACATTTCCTAGAAGACTTAAAAAAGGTTCCAGATTCTTAGTTAATTCTCTCTTGGATCAGGAAGAAGATCTGGAAAGAAAAGGGGATTCTCTGTAGAATGTAGATGTTCCCCACAAGAGACAACTTGGTCAAACCATTTCAAAATATGTCAAATAAATATATTTTGGGGTGAAATACTTTGATTACTTTCAGGACCTGCTATCTATTATGTTGGTATCTTATTGCTACAAAAAGTCTACTTTGTCAGTCTTAAGGTTTCTGTTTTTTTGTTAATGCTGGTCAGTTGTGCCTGAATTCCAAAGGGAGGAGGGTATAATAAGGCATGTCGGACCACCCACTCTCATCATGTCCTGGACTAGTGTTTCAGGTTTATTTTAGAATGCCGTTGGCTGAGAGGAGGGGTCCATTCAATTGGCTGAGGGGCTTATATTTTTATTTATGGTTTACAACCATAAAGTAAGCAAGTGGATCTTCAGTTAGCGAGACCAGATCTAAGTATGCACAATTAGCAAGACACATTTGATAGAAGGTATCTATACTCATACTGCACCCCTCCAACACACACCTTTTTTTCTCATTTTTTTCTTGTCTTTCGATGATGGTGCTTAAAGACAAAGAGAAAAGATGCCCCTCACCCCCTCAAATCTGCAAGTGTTTTTGGGCTGTGAGAAGCATAGAGCATTTTGTTTTACAGACAACGGCGACTGTGACTGTGGTGAGTGTGTATGCAGGAGTGGCTGGACTGGCGAGTACTGCAACTGCACCACCAGCACGGACTCCTGCGTCTCTGAAGACGGAGTTCTCTGCAGCGGGCGCGGGGACTGCGTTTGTGGCAAGTGTGTTTGCGCAAACCCGGGAGCCTCAGGACCAACCTGTGAACGATGTCCTACCTGTGGTGACCCCTGTAACTCTAAACGGTAATGTCTCTGCTTTCGTCCATTCCTTTTGTGGATAGGTTTATAGTGATCAAATTTACAATGGCATTTTGTAAACTCAGACCTCAGATTGTATTTGCTGGTTTGGTCTCCAAACATCCATCAAAACACACACAAACCCACAGGGCCTCTGTGATCTTCAGCCTGGAACATCAGTCTCTAGCTTACCTCTTTCTCAGTCCTGGTTATCCAGAATCACGATGTCACATTTCTGCTAGAGAGTAGCATGGGGAAACCGAGCTGGTGTCCCACACTGATAACATCAGATCACCTCTCCATTACAATAGCAGCCACACAGAAGGAATGCCCTGGAGGTAGACGGATGACACCCACATGCAGTCAGTAGCTTTTCAGGGGAAACAGACAAGCTTTTTTCTTATCTGGAAGTTTATAGCCTGACCTTACTGATTCATTCCTATCTATAGACTGACAGAGACAAAGAGGCAGAAAGATGATCTTAGCTTTCAATTCTCTCCTGCTTCTTTACCACCCATGCTCTTTGGCACCTTTCTTTGGTTGCCGTTATACACAGCTATTGTGTATTGTGTTTTCTTTTATACCACATGCACAATAACAACAATAAAACCTCACAATTTCTTAATGAAATTGGGGCCACATTTGTAGGTCAAGAGAAGCGAGCCTCCAAAATGGCTATTATGATATTGCAGTGGATAATGTATTATGCAGCAAATATGCGTCAACATTTCAGATTTTCATGAACTCTGATGCCCAAAATGGTGACATTTGCATTTCTGACATAAACAGAGTGAGAAAAGCAATTTTTCACTCAGTGGTTACTCACCATTCAGGTGTCAAAACTTCTCTGCCACTGTCACTGGCAAACTAAGACAAGACGCATGCCAGGAGAAGCATGAGGACATGATTAGGATGATTTGAATAGGATCTAATGTAAAATGTCCCTTCAAGATGTTTCTTCTATTACTTTTCTGTTTCATCTCCTCTATAAACATGATTCAATCTTAAATCTGAATTACAAGATAGGAAATTAATAATAAAAGCCACTTGAATTTGGGGAATCAGGTAGAGTGACCTCCTTGGGATTTCTGTTAGTTTGGAGATGAGTCCATTTTTCCATTTATTCATGCATGTATTCATTTATCAAGTAGGTATTAAGTGCCTACTATATGCCAAGAATCGTGTTACGTCATGGGCAATGCAATGATGACTGAAACAGCTAGAGCCCCTGCCTTTACAGGTGCTGGGAGTCTAGTGGGAAAGATAGACATCTTTTAAAGTGATTGCGATGCTACCTAGGCTGACAGTTTTAATAGGGGAAATAGAGAGTGCTATGGAACTCTGCAGCAGGGGATAAGGCTACCAGACTAGCTAGTGCAGCCATCAGTGAGATGCACAAAGATGAAGAGATTTTAAGAGCTTCCACAATCACCAGACCCCTTCAAAGCCACTCCAAATAAATATGCGATCTAGATAAATCCAATGTATTTGCAATGCCAAGGCAACTTCACAGTAAAACCTTCCCCACTGCCTAATAGGTTGCCCTTCCTGTGGAAAAATCCTGAGCCTGCCACTGTGAGGGAACTGATTGGTCTAAGGTTTAGTGAAGGTTTGCCTAAGGAAGTGCAGTTTCAGCTGAGATTTGCTGAGTTATGGGTGCGGGTTGGGTGTTTCAAGCACTTAGCAGAGCATACATTTCCATGGCCAGAGGAGAGAGAGACAGCAGGTGTGTCCACAGTAAGAAAACTCTTGCTGTTTTTGAATTACAACAAGCACAATCTATTTGTAAAGTGATTTTCAGCACAAGATTAATTCAGGGTCTAAATTTTACTTTGCTCTATAGATGTCTTTAGAGTAGCTTAATTCTTGGACGATGTTCTTGGAAGTGTACTTTTCTATAAATAGTGATCTTTTATTTAAAAGCCTGTATTAATGAGGATCCAGGCTGTAATCCACAGCTTTTGAGATCCAGGCTCTAATCCACACTTTCATTAAGACTTAGACTTATTCAAAAGAGTTACAGAAAAGTGAATTGTGAAAATTATCATATAAGACATATACAAAGTCCACTAATCATTCTTGGAATTCTGGTTAAGGTATAGACCATTTCTGTTAAGAAATTCAAAACTTCTCCTAGTCCCTAATCATATTTTAGGAACATAAGCTCTCTGTAGGAAAAAGTAAAATGAAAACAGCTAAATCAATTTATTTTCTTTGATTGTTTGTTTACTTAACCAATCAGGAACAATCATTACAGGTAAATGAAAATGGTAGCTATTATCAAGACTGGTTCAGAGAACATTGATTACTGAGTGGAACTCAGAATAATTCAGTGTTCACTTGGGCATTACCCAACTATCTTTTTGAAAATAACAAAAGATAATGACATCTATGAGATACCCCTATAGCACAAACTGCAACAATAGCAGTAAAGCAATATTCAAGCTGCAAATCTATTTTCCACCAGCATGAACTGATACACTGTTGGATACTGTCCACAGGAGCTGCATTGAGTGCCACCTGTCAGCAGCTGGCCAAGCCCGAGAAGAATGTGTGGACAAGTGCAAACTAGCTGGTGCGACCATCAGTGAAGAAGAAGGTTCTGCTTGTCTTAAATTGTTTTTTATTTCCTTATGTAGTTCTTGAGAGGCATAGTTCTTGACCCTCTGTGAATCGAGGGCTATTTAGTAGCTTGACCTTATTTGTACCAGAGCATTAGCTCACTGACATTCATTTTTTAAGAGTAAATGCATCCTATAAGACTAGAAACTTGATGGCTCAGGCCACAAGCATTTCAAAGTTGTGGCTATTCTATTTGACTTCAGCTCTGTTGCCAAATTCACCTCTGCTTAACAAATTCAACTGTAGAGAATTCCAGAATGCTATATTTTTCAAACTAGAAAGGGAGAAAAATTGAAGAAATGGCTAAAGGTTAGCCCCCAAACTTGAATTCACCCTTTTCATCCAATTGCTTTATTTCAAGATAAGATAAAGCCAACTGTAAATCAGTGTTCCAGATGGTGGCTCCCAGGTACTGGGTGGTTTCTGGTTAGTGGCCATTTTTCCTCCCCTCCATATACTTTTATTCCCAACCTTCCAAAAATGGGCATTACAATGACCATCCTCAATTCTGTTGCCTCACCCCCAAAATACAAGAAGGACCTATTATCTTTCACTGCTAAGCAAACTTCTCTTGCTTTCATCTGTCATTTTAAATTTAATTACTTAGAATCAGAGTCTAGTGGCAAGGTTTCACCTCAAATATTTAAATCGCTTGTTTTTTAACTGGCAATACCTTTTAAACAATAATTTGTGGACTTTAAAACAAAGGGGATGACTGACTCTTCCAACAGAAACAACCTGGGAGAATTTAATTTTGTATCATCCTGAACTCGCTGCATTATCATGCGGCTCAGGGTAGAATTGCTACTCTGCACACGTTAGAGATGTGACCAAGATGTAGCTCAGGTGAAGTGAAATAATCAAGCTAATAATGTGTGACCCTCCAGGATATGTCTCTTGAATAGATGGAATTAGAATACGGAAATTAATCCATTTCCAGCATGGAATGAGTTAATGAACTTTATATTGTTTTGAAGATTACTTACATTGTCTCAAAATTGAGAGTTCTGACTATGCACAATTGGATTACCGTATATGGAGGGTCATGATATGTGCTCATAAAACCCCTCACCAGTGCTTTTCTTGTGACCAAAGATAAACATGCCAAATAGCAGTACATTGGACAAGATGGTGTGCGCCTTACACTACTACCAAATACACTGAGCAGGCAGCCTCTGTGGACTTCCCACATTAGTACCTGGTGCAAAGTCCTAGCATCACCTTCTGGGCTCATTTCACAGCAAGCACTGGGGATATTTACCAAGTGTTTCTGAGAAATACGTAAAAATTGCAGAAAATGCTCTGCAAATTGCTAAGCCTTAATTCACTAACAACATGGGAAATCTAATGTGTTGAGGAAAAAAAGGAGTAAACCTTACATACATGTAAATCATACTGGCAAGAACAAGGTACTTACTATATTTAAGTACACAGGTTTTTTCCAGTAGATTATCATAAATGCTGAGATTGAAGAGGAAGACTAGGGCTCCAGTGGTATTTAAAATATTTAGTCTTTTTGTGTATTTGACTAAATTATTTCAAAATAGGGAGATACAACTATTTCTAACTCAACAATTGAAAATAAAAATTGGATTACTAATACCATTTAAAGCACTAATCTGGATGAATTTGAGAGAAAAAATGTTTTTAATTCAGACTGTGTGTTTAAAAGCCACTTTTCTAATGAGCCTTTTTATAAGCTTTATTTCAAGTTACTCACCCAGTTATGTTACTGATCACACTGCCTTGAAATGATCGCATCGTATTTGTCTTTTAACGACCTACCCTTCCCCCAACACAGGGAATTTTATTTTAATAACCCCGGCCACGTCCAGTAAGCCTCCCTCTAGGCTTCAGTGCAGCTATTTGAAAGAAAATAGGAGTAAAATAAAATTCGCATAACTATATAATCTGTACGAATTGTCCTCAATTGTGCTGCGGGTGGGCACAAAAGAGATGTTATTAACCTTATTCATCCATTTTACTGAGAGTCTTTTTTTTTTTTTTTTTTTTGGAGATAACGCCACACTCTCTCTCCCTGGCTGGAGCGTAGCAGCAAGATCAAGGCTCACTGCATTCTCGACCTTCCAGGCTCAGCCTCATGAGTACCTGGGACTACAGGCACATGCCACCATACACACCATAATTTTTTCTAGTTTTTGCAGAAATGGGGTTTTGCCATGTTGGCCAGGCTGGCCTCGAACTCCTGAGCTCAAGTCATCTTGCCCGCCTCAGGCTCCCAAAGTGCTGGGATTACAGACATGCACCACAGTGCCCAGCTTGAGAGTCATATTTTTATTTACCCTACCATACATGTACTCAGAGAATTGTTTCTCAAAGTATATTCCATGCAACCTTAGATATGAAAGCATTACATGGAAAAAGGCACCGCTGGTAATACACATCTTAGAAATAGGAAACTGGGTTTCTTGTTTTCTTTGCAGGACTTCTGAGAGTTGTTACGCATTTAAATTAAACATGCATTGTGAATCATCAGGAATGGCAAGGGGAGGAATTGGAATAAAGGATTCCCAAACTTACCTGACCATAAACCCCTGATGCTTTCCTTGGGAAACGTTGTTGTTGTTTGTTTGTTTTTGCTTTTGCTTTTTGAAAACTGCTAATTAATCCTAGAGCTGAGGTCTTAAACATATGGCCATCTTGACTCAGTGGTGCAGATGCTCTATATTTCTCACACCCTCCCCAGACCTTCCCAGGCCCACCTCCTCACCCCTGTTTTCACATTTCTTCCTTCTCTGAGTATGGTTCCATGGACTGCTTGGCATCTTATTTTCATTCTATTATTCTAGAGCAGCACTGTAGACATTCACAAAGGAAGGGAAAAAAGAGAGGTCTATTTTCTATGAACAACAAAAGAAATTATGCAGCGAATTATGCAAATCTGTCGTTGCACATTTGATAATACTATTTCAATATCCAAACACTATGGAACAGGCTACATCTAGAGCCGTAGCAATCATGAAAAGGAGTGGTGAAGTAATTAAAGCAAGATGGAAGTTGTGACTCAAAGATCATATTCTGCCATTCCATTAACACTTAAATAACCCCGGCCAGGTCAAGTAAGCCTCTCTCTAGGCTTCAGTGCAGCCATTTGAAAGAAAATTTTTAAAAACATGGTTAATATTACTGAAAGGAGTATGATAAGCAGTTCACATATTTCCCACCTCAGAATAAAATGTTTCATTAAATATGTTCAAGGCAAGGAGAGTGAGCCTGCACTGTTCTCACAGAGAGGGGGAAAGAAGCAAGAAAACACTCCAATGAGAAAACGCATAGTCCCCAAGATTTCATGAACCCTAGTTAATTGGAGTGGCAAGTTAACAGGAGGTGTGGTAAAGGCCAAATAAAATAGCCAATGTATGAATTAAATATGCAGTACCATTTGCAATCAAACATATGAAATAACACACATCTCACCAAATCTCTTAATCAGAATCTCCTTTTTTTAAAAAAAAGGAGATTAAATACTTATTAAACAACTCACTAAGTGTACAAGCTCCTGTACAACCAGCCTCTCAAATCAGAGTACCCAAGGGTGGGTCCCCAGAATCTATATTTTCAAAACTCCCAGGTGACTTAGATGACCATAATCATTTGGCAATGTCTAGACTAGAATGATTTGTAATTAGATTTCTTAATATTCCCATGTAATAGATATTACTAATGGGTTCAAAAACAGTTTGTACACTTAAATCTATCATCCAAAATCTTATTTATAATGCTAAATGTCTTGCTGGTTCCTGTTTTCATAGATAATCCAAAGCATACTTCTCACAGACACTGTCGGGTTTTTCATTTCAAACAAAATGTGAAGACAGCAAACAGCAACTTAATATTTCTATCTATGGCTATGGCATTTTTCTACCAAAAACTGACTATTATTTAATTTTTGTTAGAATCAGAGAACACATTCGATTCTGCTTTATTCATGTTTTTATTGTTAAGCTAATGAGAGAGACTATAAGTCTAGTAGGAGTATGTCCAAGATTATCAGGGGCAGCCCCAGTTTTAATGCTCTGATCCATTGTAGCATAACACACTAACTTTGGACGCATGTCCTAAAAATTTAGAATAAGAGCAAAAGGACTTCTACTTACAGGTTTCTGAAAAACAGTGTTTGTAACCATCACTGAAAAGTCTCCAACTTAAAAGATAGGAGAACAGTTAAGCAAATTTGTTTAGTTTTCTTAATCAGGAGAATGCCACATAATTTTGGCATAGGTCCTGGACTACAAAAATTTCTGGTAGATAGTACTGGCATCTCTGGCCATTTTACTTTACTTTTAATTTCTGTCATGACATTCACTTTCTGCCTCTTGAATGAGCTCAATAAGGAAGAATTCCCACTTGGAAAATATTTGAGGGAAACTGGATTTTTTTTTTTTTTTCAAATTAAGAAAGGAGCTCTCCTGAATGATAGAAAAACTGTCACTGTGGATTCATTTACCTTTATCTTTCTGGTCCCTGAGCTACATAACGCTTCAGTTTCAGTTTCCTGATATTAATTTATGTTACTGTTCCACAATACTTGGCCAGCATCTTGACTATGCCATTGTGAGAAAGGCCCCTTTAAAAGTATCAGTATCAGCTTGAACTGTGCAGAAATGTAATCTAGACATCCTTCATGCTCCCAGCAAAGAAGAACCTATAGCCCCCTCATTACCATAATCAGGGCCATTCTATTCCCAAGGCAGCTGTGGGTACCTGCCTTGAAGTACGTTCAGCCTGTTGCAATCCTGCCCATATCCGTTTGATAGGTGCATTTGATGGTCAGTCCTGATTGACCACATCTGGAACTGTTCTTCTGGAACGTGAGTAAAAACTAAAACCTCACTTCAGGAGAAAAAAAAACCCTATGCCTTTCCTATTCTCATTCTGCACTATTGAAAACTCTAATTTACATATTAAAACTCAATACCACTTTGTTTTAAAAATAATCTCTTTTGGAATCTTTTTAACCTAATGAATGACTCCTTTATTTACAGATTTCTCAAAGGATGGTTCTGTTTCCTGCTCTCTGCAAGGAGAAAATGAATGTCTTATTACATTCCTGATAACTACAGATAATGAGGGGAAAAGCATCATTCACAGCATCAGTGAAAAAGGTGAGTGGTTTCCTTTCCATTGCCCATGGCAAATGACACTACACAGGAGAAGAGAAAGCAACCAGAAAATAGCTCTGGGTAGCAAACCAGGAAAGACATTTCCAAATTTTTGATGAAGTTTCTTAAAGTTTCCCAAGGATTGAAAGATGCCAGTTAGAAGATTCAATATGTTCCAGTGTCTCTTATTAAGACCAGATAAGGGTCAGGCACAGTGGCTCACACCTGTAATCCCAACACTTTGGGAGGCTGAGGTGGGCAGTTCACTTGAGGTCAGGAGTTGGAGACCAACCTGGCCAACATGATGAAACCCTGTCTCTACTAAGAATACAAGAATTAGCTGGGCATGGTGGTCTGCACCTATAATCCCAGCTACTTGGGAGGCTGAGGCAGAAGAACTGCTTGAGCCCGGGAGGTGTAGGTTGCAGTGAGCCAAGATCGCGCCACTGCACAGAGTGAGACTCTGCGTTAAAAAAAAAACCAGCTAAGATGACTTGGAGTTGGAGTTGCAGCAGTCATCATCTTCCTGAAAGCTGACTGATGAATTATAGAAAGGTAAGTGAATTAAATGAAATGTAAGCAAAAGGTCTATCTTTAGGAAATGGTAACAGAGAGGAGTGTGTCCATTTTTTTTAAGAGTGTGAATCAGGCAAACCTTGGTTCAAATCCTTCTCCATTATTTAATAGCTGAGTGACATTCTGGAAGACACTTGAATCTCTGAGTCTCTATTTCCTCATCTGTAAAATGGAACAGATAATGGTACTTTTTCTAAGTGTTGACTCAAGGATTAAGTGGAATAATGCACATAAAATAGTGGCAATACCTAACTCTCGGTAATGGGTCATCAAATGATGATGCTGAATCAGAAAAGACATTAAGCAGCAAATGAGGAAGGATGTCAAGGTGTCCATTGCTCCTGTGGATTTTCATCCACACCAACTCATAGAGTCAGTTCTGGACTTGGGAAAGCCTTAAACATTTTGCATTCAGTGAAGGGGAAAGAGAAGTTTATATTTAGTAGAGAAGAAAGTAGGTGAGAAGGTATTCATACTTTGAGAGGGATTCAAATGTTAGTGGGTATCAGACTTCGTTGGGGAACTTGTTAAAAATGCCTATATCCTGAGTCAACACCATCTGATGTGTGGCCCAGGGCTCTGCATTTTAACAACTACCCTGGCAAGCCTGATACAAATGGTCCCAAGATCTCCCTGTGAGCGACAGTCCTAACACGGACTGCATTCTCATTTACTCACAGGTAAATACGAGGCACTCACAGGTGCCTCATATTTTCTGTCTTTCATCAGTGATGTGTTCCTCCCTAAACCATTCCTGCAGATATGACAGCTACATTAAATCAGACCTCATCAGACCTTGTTTGCAACCTCCTCCTCCCCGCAAAAGCTTGGAGTCTAAGTTCTGCCCCAGACAACAGCGACAGGGCCAGGCCATAAGGCAGATAGGTGTGTTTTGTTGTACCTGCTTGCTTATTGGTATGCTGATAAAATATTAAGTCCTGAACTTGAAACCAAAAGTATCAAATTGGCATCACTTTAGAACATAAAAACCACAGCAATGTCAAGGGAACCAAAAAGTAAGTTCAAGACAATTATATCCCAATCAAGAAAACATGATCAGAAAAAGGTCACATTGCAGTTGCTGAGGGCAAGGGAGAGATAGAGGTTGGCACAATCCAAGGAATCTGAAGATGATTGTGAACTTGGCCTTGAAGCTCAGGTATGCTGAGTGCCCCTGGAGACTTGCTCTGGAAAGCTCTCATGTAAATCAACTCCTTTGAAATGCATACATAAAATGAGTCTTATGGCCATTCATTAGGGAAACATAAGGAGAATCCTGCCATACAAGGAAGAATTACTTTATAATACCAAAAAAAGCCTGCCTGCTCATTATCTGTCTGATAAAATAAAATTCTCCAACTACAATCCCAACCCTCTGTGACTGTGGCAGTGGCTTTAGCAAGTTATCTTGAAATCAAAGCCATCCCTTATCGTATTGATTCTATTGAAAAAAACGAGTTTCAAACAACAAAAACAAATTTCCAGAATAAGTCCTGCTTTTAATTCAGAGACTTTTGTATCTAGTTGATGAATTTTTTTTTCAGTGAAACATGCCTTGGGCTAAATGCCTCCTCATTACTGAGCTGTTGTCTGTTCTTTTATTCTTCCACACAATACGAGTGGCACCGCAACATGCCACTCTGCAGAGCACACACAGATGCCCTGATGCTTTTTACTATGGCGTGTTATTATCCCCATGCTTTTGTAGTAGGGAAAAGTGAGGGGAAAAGTTACCTCCCTGAGGCTTAACAAGAGTCACCTGACAGCTTCCAGGCTCCCTCTTCCTCAACAAATGTCCGCATGGTTGGGTAGGCCTGGCGCTTCCAGGGGCCAGCAGAGCAGAACCTGTCCCCAGAAGTCCATAGTCCTCCTGTCTCCCGTCTCACAGCTTTCAGACTAGAAAATCCCAGGGTGGCCTGGTGGAGGCTTCGGTAGAAGAGGCAAACTGAGAAGAGAGAAAGGGGCTGATCCCCAGGGTCCTCTAAGCAAATCGAAAAAAAAAGAGCTGAGTGAAGGGTTGCCACCAGGGTGCGTAGACACAGGTGATTTCTTTCATCTTCTTTCTTACCCCACCATCTGGAGGGACTTTCAGAGCATAAGAGCCACAACAGAGTCAAGGAATGATAGGCAGGAAGGCTTCCTGGCTGGAAAGTTCCAGCTAGGGTAGATGCTATACCCACAGGTTCCAAGTTAGAGGCTCCAGGTCCTTGAGGTGATGAGGATAGAAAAGGGGAAAGAGTGCTGTATTTGCTGTAACAATAGTAATATTAATTATTATAGCAGCTCTCATTTTTTGAGCCCTTACTAATACCATTTGCCAGATGTTCTATATATTTTACATAATTCACTTAATATTCTTAACAACCATATAAAACAGGTACCACTATTATTTTCATTTTAAAGGTAAGGAAATTGAGGCATAGAGACATTAAATAATTTGCTAGGTCTGGCAGTAATTATGTGCCAGAGCTGGTGGAGGAGCTCTGGCAGCCTGGCCTGGAGCCCATGCTCTGAACCACTGTGCTCTACTGCCTCCTACTGGCTATACAATCATCATACATATCTGAATCACAAAAGGATGTTAGATCAGCATCATCCAACAGAACTGGTAGGCAAACTCTATATATAATTTAAAACTTTCTAGTAATTACATTAAAAAGTCAAAGAAACAGGTAAAATGAATTTTATTTACCATGTTATCGAAAATATTGTCATTTCAACGTGTAATCAATATAAAAGCTGAGATTTTTTACATTTTTTTCATACCAAGTGTTCAAAATCAGTGTTTATTTCACCCTTACAGCAGAAGTTACGTGGGAAAACTCACATTTCAAGCACTCAATAGGCACATTGGGCTACCAGATTGCACAACGCATGTAGCAGAGTTAGATACCCAGGACCTTAGAAGTAGGTGCTGCCCCAACCTGGACTCAATAGGCCACATTGCACACAGTGATAGAGGTGACCCTCTTCTTCCATGTAGAAATCCATTCGCAGTCTGAGCATCTCAAGAAACATCTGAGTATGAAAAGTGAAGATCTCTATTGTGTAAGACCTGCTCTGGCACTTGGACCAAAATCTTTAATTGAGAAATGTACAATTTCTGAGACTTTCAGTTCTTAATTATCTCTGTCAGACCGCACCCATTTCTTCTTTAGTCCCTTCTGGAGAACCCTCCTAATTCATGTCTAGGTGCAGGATTGTAGCAAGCTTCATCTTGCTTCGAGCAGGAGCATACTATGCCCCACCCCAGGCATTTCTTAGCCAAAGATGTAGCCAGTATATATTCTCATGACACAAGCCTGCTGTTTTATTTGCAGGAATGTGCTAACCCATTAGAGGCAGCTATGGTTCATTTGCTATGCAAGAATATAGTCTTTAGATCTTCATACAGTAATAGGTATGTCATTAGCTCCTTTTCTTACTTCTGCATAATCTCTTTACATGGTTTCTTGGCCAAAGAACAAAAGTGTGTGAGGCCAGGCATCATGCTGTTAGTGGGTAATTAGTCCTACTCAGATTCACATCGACTCCAGATCCTTACCTTAAAGACAGCATGACTAGTCATATGTGTATAACTCTCCTTATTAAATCTCTAAAAGCAGTAAGACTTAGGATAAGCTAAGCATCATTCATTTCCTCCCCAGATACCATGGATTTTACCTCATTTCTTGCAGAGGGATGCAGATATCTAGCGATAATGTTATGTGGGATTTTTTTTCCATGAAAGTAGGAGGAGAGCATAATTATAATGTTTCATTAAGAAATGTATCATCTCCTAGGCATATTGCAAGGACTATTAGTCATTCTGCTGTGAATTAGGAAAGGTACTGTATAATGGCAAAATTACATTAATATCATCAATAGAGTCAAAATAACATTTCAAAGAATATTCAAGTTGAAAAGACCCTACAGAACATCTAATTTCCCGAACTTGCTTGAAAATAAGAATCATTTAGAATATTTAATAATACAAAATCGGTGGCCTTATCCAAGACCCACTGAATCAGAATATTGGGGAAAGGGTCTAGGAAGCCGTGTTAGTAAGCAAGAACACTTCAGCTTATTGTTATCATCAGAAAAGTTAAGGGAACACTGAACTTTGTTTTACAGGTGAAGGGCCTGGGGCTCAGAGAGGTCAACAGACTGGATCATATTCACACAGCTGCTGTACATCAGATGGGAATTGAATCCACCTCTCCTGAATCTAGTCCAGGAACTTCCCCCAAACCAGACTACTGCATTAGGGTTCAACAAAATAGAACTGAAACCCATCATTGTCTTCTGTCTATAAAGAAAGAAGGAAATAGTAATTTTTTCAAGGGATAGGTTTTATGTAAATTTTAATGTAGTCTTCTAGACTCCCCATGATTCAAGAAGGTCCATGAAAAACTGATCACATGCAGCGCGCGCGCACACACACACACACACACTCCATTTCTACATTATCATGGACTCAGAAGAGACCATTTTTAGTGATTAAACTAGTCTTTTTTCTTAATCCTTTAAATATTCCATGTGCATTAATTATCACTTTTTGGATTCTCTTTTAGAGTCAGCCATCAAGTCTATATACATTTACTTTGAATAACTAAATTCTTCCTTTATCTTTTGTTCTACTTTGAAGGAATGCAGGGCTATCCTTCAACAAGTAACTCATTTTTAAAATTTAAGCAAAGCAAAAATAGTGTCAATATTTCTTCTCTGCTGCAGAAAAAGTAGATGGAAAATCCAACAAGAAATGCCTTTCCAATGTCAAAATGTTGATTTTACCACCTTCTTATAATTTTCTTTATTTCTGCAGATTGTCCAAAGCCTCCAAACATTCCCATGATCATGTTGGGGGTTTCCCTGGCTATTCTTCTCATCGGGGTTGTCCTGCTGTGCATCTGGAAGCTGCTGGTGTCATTTCATGATCGTAAAGAAGTTGCCAAATTTGAAGCAGAACGATCAAAAGCCAAGTGGCAAACGGTATGTGGAAACTTAGGGCTACTCCTTGTCTAGGGGAGAAAGAGGCTGGTGGAAGAGACTGAGGGGCTCAGCTTTCTTCTGCTCTGAGAGTTCAAGTGTCACAGTTTTTCTCTCCCACTCTTGCCATGACCCCAACAGCTTTGATTTCTGTTCTGCTTCGGGGACAAAGGAACCTCTATCCATTATCTGGACCCAGATGACCCTCATAGCATAGATTTGTCTCAGTGCGGTGGGGATTTCCACCACGATGAAGAGTCTCATGAGGCTCCTGAGACAGCTGCTTAGGGACATCAGGGAAGTATGTTTTTACCAGTGCTTCCTCACCACTAGGAATTATCCCTCAGGCCCCATTTGATAAAGCACGGGTGCTGTATCTAAACATTTCCATAAATTGGTTATGTTATAATGAATGGAATAATGTTCGTAAGTAGTATGATAATTCATGCCAATTTCTATGGAAATACTTGTTACTGGTCTAATCGGTTACAAAGCAAAATTGAGATGATTTTTTAAATGCCATGTAGTTATTTTTTCTTAATAACATAAATTTTAAACAGAGACCTGAAGAAAAGCCCAAAAGTATTAACCTTTAAATACATAAACTCAATAGGAATAATTTAAGTGCCTTCTCTTCACAAGAGGCAAGCAGAAGGCAGGACTATAGTTTTCTGTGTTTCTTTTCCACAGGAGAGATAATTACATTTCTAGAGACCCATAGAAACAATTTCATGGTTTTAATTTCATCTCTCTACCTCTAATGGTGTGTCCAGGTATCTAACAGCAATTATCTTACATTGCTGATTCTAACAACAATGATATCACTGGAGAAAATGCAGGCAGACACAATGCTCCTTTGGATTTGTCCATGCAAATAATTTGATGTTAACAATTTTTATAGCAATGCCTTCAATTCCTAAAGCAAATGGAATTTTCCATTTTTGATAAATTTATCTTGATAAGGGATGTTTATGTTGTATGCAGTTATTCTAAATTAATCATAATATATGGTACAGAACAATCAACAGTGAAAATTTTTATCTACTTTATCTTCCCATTAAAAATGTGCTAGATACAACAGCCAAATGCAATGTATGGATCTTGTTTGGATCATGATTCGAACAGTCCTCCTGTAAAAATACATTTTTTAAACAACTGGAAAAAGGCTAGGCATGGTGACTCACACTTGTAATCTTAGAATTTTGGGAGGCCAAGACAGGAGGATTGGATCACTTGAGCTCAGGAGTTCGAGTTGGGCAACACAGCAAAACCCCGTCCCTACAAAAAGAAATACAAACATTAGCCAGGCATGGTGATGCACATCTGTAGTCCCAGCTACTTGGGAGGCTAAGGCAGGAGGATCACTTGAGCCATGAGATCGAGGCTGCAGTGAGCCACGATCATGCCATTGCATTCCAGCCTGGGCGACAGAGTGAGACCCAGTCTCCAAAATAAATAATAAATACATGAAACGACTGAAAAAAAAGATTAATACATGCTGGGTATTAAAATGATAGCAAGTAAGTATAATTTCATTAGGTATGATAATGGCATGGTGACATTGCTAGAAAATATCCATATTTTTTAGAGATGCATACTGAAGGAGTGAAAGGAGATGAAAGCTGGGGTTCGCTTTGAAATAATTCATCCAAGAGAGTGGGATGGAGGGATAGTTGAAGCAGGTGTGGCAGAATTGTGATAACTGTTGAGTCTAAATGATAGGTCTTTGGAGGTTTGTTATATAGCTTTCCTCTTTTTGTGAATGTATGTGTTTTCCATAATTAAGCAAAATTCCTCAGGAGAAGATATAATTTACTCATTCCCAACAACGTAAAGGTAAACAGATAGGTTAGCTTGGTGACTTAGAACACAGTACTAATAAGCCCAAAGTTGTAGGACAGTTCATTTCACCTGACCCCTGGCCACAGGTGTTTATTTTTGACTTTTATCAACTCTCCAACAAATGCCTTGTGATGGTTAGAAGGGCAACCTGGTAAAAGAATGTGGTTAAGTTGCCACAAAGGACAATAGCAGCAAGCCCCGTGACATAATCCTGGTATTTCCATTTTGAGGAGCTAAACTGAGGCTCAGAGAAGTTAAGGGACTTCCCTAACTTTTGGTGCATAGTTAAGCTGAAGCCTAATTGTTCATTGTTCTTCTAAGCACAGCCTTTGGTTGACCCTCCTAGAAATAATAAGCAAGTGTTCCACAAACACACACTTGGGCAATTACGTGATGTGTATCTACTAACCAGCACATTTCAATGTTCTCATACGGAGGCATAAATACTGACAAGTGATTAATATCTTTAAAATAACGTTTTAATTAACAGTTAATTTCCCCAAAAACATGAATCATTCTCCCTCAGGATGTAGAACATGACTGAAATTCAAATACTGAATTTTTGCTGTTTCTTCATCTAACAGGCGACCCAAACATGCATTAAACAGAAAAAAAAGCAGAAGTGGAAAATATTATTCCCTTATTAAACTGAGTTTCTTTGAATAACAAATGTTTGATGTTCCTGACTAGATAATGACTGGATAGTAATTATTCACTTGGATGCAAAAAAGGTTTAACTCAAATAATTCAGTTTAAATTTCACTAACATCCTACTGGAAAAAAATGTCGCTCACTGCACACGTTTGGAGGTCTTCAATTTAATTGAGTGTTTTCTCTAAAACCTATTTCTTCTCGAAGAAGTGAATTTGACTGGTCTTCGAAACACGGTGCCCTCCAGGGACAATCGGGACAGTCAGGCCTCCTGGCCATAGGACTGCATTGGACTCATAAAGTGACAGGGCTTAAGACAGAAAGATCTCCACTCCTACCTCCTAAAACATTTCAGAGCAGCTGTAAAGAAAGGTTATCTTTTTATCATGCTTTTAAAAATAATGCCCACCCCCACATATTCTTTATGAAAACACAAATGAAACATATTTAAATTCATCTTTGATTAGACATTTTTTTTCTAGGATGACAAGTCATTAACTTGAGGCAAAAAAAAATGTTCAGCCTGACATTTCTTGCAGTCATGGATTGATTTTGTACTGTGCTAAGCAAATCAGGTCTGCGTTTGGCAGTTGGTCGATCATTAAGGAAGCTGTGGGTCATGACAGAGTTTTCCTATTACCACTTTTTCAATCTTGAAAAATGTGCCATTGCATTTGCAAAATCCAAGCCTAAATTAGCGCTCCCAGACTCCTGGGGGAATCAGCCTGGTCACCCCAGATGGTTAGGGGAAAACTGACCTTTTCTGAGCAGTGGATTGCACACTCACCTGAAATAGAGCAGGACTCAAGCCTGCATTTCTCCTGGAAAGTCTGTGTAGAGAGGTTATAGTCAGAAGACCACTACAGGAGGCGGTGTGGACATTTCCACACCGCCTCCTGGAACAAAACCCAACGCGAGTGCATTATCCTGACCTCTGATCTTCAGCTAAGGCCAGAAAATACCCTACCACACACAACAGCAATATGTACTTGCTCTTCATCCACTTTTACACTTCCACCTTACCCTCTTACTCTGTGAAGTCTGCTTTAACCATCACTCCCTATAAGCAATGTCTTGGCCCTAAACCAGTTTTGCAAGGGACTCCCAAAATATTGCAGACCTGAATGAATGAAGTTGCTTTAAAATACAGAATGTTGCTTTAAAATACAGAATGAAAATTCTGCCATAAAAATTAAACATTCAACTAAATATCTACTAAATAACATTGTGTTATCTTGTCAGTTGCAACTCAAGTCACACTCAAGTGTGGGATATGGGTGTATTGCAATATGTTTGACATGATATAGGGTGCACCTACAAACAAGTACCTGGTGCTACAGAGCTCTAAGCTGCCCCTGCTCACAACCTGTGTCCTCTTTCCAAGTGTCTTTTCTGTTCACAAAGGTGGGAACTTCCTCCATGACATGCTTACCCTGTCATTGCTGGCCTAAACCTCTTACTTTTTTCCATCTTGCTTCTTCAATTGAGTCCCTCATTCTCCTGTAACCAACTAGATTCTAGTCTCTCAAATTTAATAGAATTCCATGCATGATTTTTGTTTGCTAATGAGACTCCATCTACATCTAAATTCAAATCAGTCTGCCCTTTGCCTTCAAAATCTCAAATTCTTAGGGCAGCAGGACTAGATAAGATCTGGAGGTCCCTCAGAATTAACCAGGCTGCTCTCAGGAATAGAAGCACGATACCAACTTAGCTTTCACCCATCATCCACCATCAGCCAAGAAACCTCTTTTCTGTTTGGCTTTATGATAGAAATAGCGTATCTCTTTAAAGGCACATAGCAAAGGTAACATGCCACTTACCAGAGGTCAGGCCACTGGCTCTGGACAACACAGAAGCGGGTGCAGCTGTGATTCCCACTCACAATGAGGGCACTGAGGCCAGTGACTGGGAAAGACCAGGGAGTGTTTCCAGTTTTATTTCGTTCTTCTAAGAGCTGAAAGAAATGTACTGAGCAAGCAAAGACAATCATGTTCTTTTTCAAATCCACCCCTAGAAATTGTTACTATAGCTATAATTCATGGAATGAGGTGATCAAAGTGTAAGATTTTAACTTAGAAGGTCAGAGGCAGTACCTGGATTCCATACATACTCAGTAATGGGCTTAGAAATGTTAAGTGTACCAAAGCCCTGGGGGAAAATATCTTAATAATCCTCTGTAAAACCTAAAAGAAAAGGAAATTCCAAATGTGAAGAAAAGCTATAAACAGGAACTAATGAGAAGAGGCAGCATTTATGGAGCATTTGCTATGTGCTACACACAGTGCTAAAATACTTCACCTGGATAAGGTAGGCACAGATATGGACACCAAGGCTCAGAGTGGCTTCAGTACGGTCATGTGGTGGAGCTGGCTTTGGACCCAGACTGTCTGTTGCCATAGCCTGTGTGGTCAGCCTTGGAAAGTGGGAGAGAAGAAACTGTACCTTACCCAGACACCTTCCTCCTACCTGGAACAACTAAAGAGGCTTGATCCTTCTGGACCTTCTGGTCCTTTTGACCACAGCACCACTGCTATTGGCACCTGGAGGCACATCTACAGCCCAAGCAGCACAGCTGAGCTACCCAGAAGTCCCACACCCAACCTCCCCACTGCCTCCAAGGCAAAGCCATATTTCCTGGCCTGCCTTTGGATTGCCACTCTTTCATGACCCCAGGGTCCTCCATAACAGTCTCTTGTGGTTGTCTTACACACTGTTTTACATAGTAAGCAAAAGACAGCTGGTTCTTTGGCTACCCAGAGTTTTGATCTGATCTGATCTGATCTCAACATGTTTATTTGTGCCCTTGTTTGATGCTTCTCATCAGTAACACGTTTGTTAAAGGCAGATACTGTGTCGTTCATTTTTTTATGTTTCTACCAGTTTCGCTTTTCCTGTTTTTTACTTTTTTGGCTTTGATTTCACTTTTGGTTCATCTATCACTGTTCGCGCCACTCATTCCATACATACTGAGCACCTGCTCTGGGCCAGGGACTCAGTGCTGGGAAAACAGCAGTGAGCACAATAGCTGAAGCCTTGTTTTCTATCTGTAAATTTGTGCTTTACCAAAAGAGGTAAGATTTTTAGAATATACATATGGGACATGTTCTGTATATTTAACAAAATGAAAATGTATAAATTGCAAAACACTAAATGTATGAAATACCAAATTAATCAAAATCGTTCTAATAGTTTCCAAGATTGAGCTTGACTCTGCTCTTCCATTTGCACTATGTATTAAAACAGTATAATAACAAAATGTACATATTTTCACTTGAATCTTTTTTTTTTTTTTTCAGGGAACCAATCCACTCTACAGAGGCTCCACGAGTACTTTTAAAAATGTAACTTATAAACACAGGGAAAAACAAAAGGTGGACCTTTCCACAGATGGATAGAACTACTTTATGCATGAAAAAAGTCTGTTTCACTGGTATGAAATGTTAATGCACTATATAATTTTTTTCTCTTTGTTGCTTCAAAATGAGGTTGGTTTAAGACAATAATAGGACATTTGCAGATAAGTTATCCTCTACATGAAGGTGAGAGACTGTTGGCAGGTTCAAAATAATCAAGAAGAGAAATATCCTTAGCAAAGAGGTGACTTTGGGGATCATTTGAGGAATACTAACTCTGTTGCATTAATGCTTCAAAAAAATCATCAAAATGATTCATGGGGGCCTGATTTGCATTTGAAAAATGTTTGAAATTAGAAGCTCATTTGTTTCAGGAATGCAGCTACCTGAGTTCTTTGTCTCAGCAAAGTCACAAAGCCCATATACTCACATTGTATATCTATACTTGCCAATTAATTCTAAACTTGTAGGAAATATGCCCTCTCTTGAAGGATAATTTTTTGAAATCTCTGAGAAATGACATTCTGATTTTACTTCAGCTAAGAAGTTGCAATTCTTCTGAAGATACCCCAAATATAAGATTGAACATTAAGTGTTAATAATTTTTGTGAATTTATACACACCTAAACGTTAAGTACACAAATATTTTATTTGTTTTACAAATGAGGAATAAGTAATTTATAAATTAAGAAGTCACCTATAAAAATAAAAAGATAACCCTATCAATTAGCTTATTTTTAAATTACCTGAAAAACGATATTCTACACTCAGTTTCCTTTTTGACCCTGAGTTTTCAAACTGTTACTTCCCCCATATTTCTCAATCCATTTCACTCAGTTGCACAGTCTTTTAAACCCTGTAATTGTCACACAAAAGTTTCTTTAAAAAAAATACTTTAAATGGTTAGCTTATTCAAAGAACACTCCTATAATATAAAAGGAACCTGTGTTAAACACAATAAATTTTTTTTTTTTTTTTTTTTTTTTTTTTTTTTTTTTTTTTTGAGACGGAGTCTCGCTCTGTCTCCCAGCTGGAGTGCAGTGGCGCGATCTCGGCTCACTGCAAGCTCCGCCTCCCGGGTTCACGCCATTCTCCTGCCTCAGCCTCCTGAGTCACTGGGACTACAGGCGCCTGCCACCGCGCCCGGCTAATTTTTTGTATTTTTACTAGAGACAGGGTTTCACCGTGGTCTCGATCTGCTGACATTGTGATCCGCCCGCCTCGGCCTCCCAAAGTGCTGGGATTACAGGCGTGAGCCACAAACACAATAAAATTTTAAATGGCTCTAAATCAAGTACATCAAAAGTATACAAGTCTTAAAGGCTTTTTTATACATACTTTTTTCCCATCTGTGTAACCCAACTTGCACATTTCAGCTGCATGTGGTGAATATGCATCATACATTTACTTTAAGAGGTAAGATTTTACTTGCAAAATATATGTGCAAATTAGGGATCCATCAGTTGATGGAAGAGATGGACTCTAGAATATTATTTCTTATGGTTATTACTCCTTTACAAAGCACTTTCATCTCACTTGATCCTCATAAGGAAACTAAGGCTCAGAGTGAGTAGAGCTGGGTTCAGAATCTAGATCTTCTAACACCAAGCCATCTTCTCTTTCCACTGCAGGAAACTGCCTCTTTTGTCAGTGAAATAATAGAAAGATTGTGTTAGTTAAGCAATAACTGTCATTTGTTTGAAAATGTATTTGAGACTAAGCAAATAGCATTTAAACTACTGGCATACAGATGAGATATTGTACTTTTGCGCAATGTTTATGACCTTTGATTAAATTGTAATGTGAAGCTTTTACTAGGTGAATAGTTCATTATGTAGTGGAGGCTTCGTGGTTGTCCATTGAATTGTCACAGCAAAATCTATAAGTTTCTTCAATTCTACAACATAGATCCATATACATTCGATCACTTGGAGACTCTTTTTTTGCTGGTTTTTAAATAACTCAGGTAAATCAGACCTTTACGGAGTACACGGCTAGATGAAAGAATTACTGAACAATCACCTTGAAAATCCAAAGGACTAATATACCCTTTATGTTCCTGACTGATGCACAGAACCTGGGGGAAATCTACAGCAACATACAGGTTGCAACGCTGATGACACAACAGCAATCCTCTCCTCTACATGGACTTACTGTTGTGTTTTTTTTTATTATTACTGGAATGGGATTTTAGAAAATAGAAGTTACCTTTGTGTGTGTTTTAGGAAGGTAGAGAAGAATCTGCTCTTTCTCTGAAAACTGTTTTGACCCCAGGCGGGACCTTGGAAAGGCCAAAACATTAACAGTAGTACTTCTGTTCACTGAAGAGTTATGTTACCTGAAGATAAAATGGTTTTGTCGTGTTTATTATTGTATTTTGTGTTGATGTAAATAAACATGGTAATTTAAACAAGGAACCTCAGAGGGATGATAGTTTCTTTTATTTGCTTGGTACAAAACCCTCTTCTTGGATTTCTGGATTCCTCTGTGACCTGTTCTGACTGCCTTGCTGGTTTTGGTCTGGGGCCAAGGAGAAGAACAAAAGGAGGCAGTCACAGAAGGCAAGAGACAGCAGGGAGTGGGCCTGGACATCACCATTTTGTAAAGTCAAGTTCTTTAGAGTTAGTGCTATGAACTGAAATGTATCATCTTCCACCCCTAATAGCCCCTGTCCCCCCAAAATTCATGTATTGAAGTCTTAACCCCCAATATCTGAGACTGTAGTTGTGCTTAGAAATAGAGCCTTTAAAGAGATAATTAAAGGCCAGGCATGGTGGCTCATGCCTGTAATCCCAGCACTTTGGGAGGCTGAGGCAGGCAGATCACAAGGTCAGGAGTTCGAGACCAGCATGGCCAACATAGTGAAACCCTGTCTCTACTAAAAATACAAAAATTAGCCAGGTGCAGTGGCAGGCACCTGTAGTCCCAGCTACTCAGGAGGCTGAGGCAGGAGAATCACTTGAACCCAGGAAGTAGAGGTTGCAGTGGGCTAAGACCAGGCCATTGCACTCCAACTTGGGTGACAGAATGAGACTCCGTCTCAAAAAAAAAAGAGAGATAATTAAATTAAAATAAGGTGATGGAGTTGGGCCCTGGTCCAGTATGACTGGTATCCTTATAAGAAGCGGAAGTTAGGACTCAGACATAAGGAAAACCATGTGAAGATATAGGGAGAGGGTGGCCAACTACAAGCCAAGGAGAGAGGCCTCGTAAAAAACCAACCCAATTGCCATCTGGACCCTGGACTCCTGGTCCCCAGAACTGAGGGAAAATAAATTCCTGTTGTGGAAGCCCCCTAGTCTGTGGTGCCTGCTGCAGCAGCCTGAGCACACTCACGCAGTCAGGGAGTGTATTCTTCTGCACATCCATTTGTTAGGTATCATGGTGCCATGCTTATCTTCTGAATCGGGAAAATTAAGCACAGAGAGACCAAATGCTGGCAAAAAGAGTCAATTTAATCCCTTTTTAAAGGCCCATTTCTTACAAAAGGACAGGCAAAGTCAAATCAAGAGTACTTATATTCTGAAACACACTGTCTTTTGTAAACTAAAGGCCAAATGTCTGAAAATAGAGAGACTGCTTCCATTTGGAACAGCACCAAGAAAGTCCCTTCTCTTCTTAATTTTTCCATCTGGGAGGCGGAATTCTTGTGTCTTCTAGCAGCTATCACAATTCCTGACACAGTAGCAACTCAATAAATTCATTCAACAAATATTTATTGAATGCCTTGCATATGCCAAATACTGTTCTTATGATTACGGATATAGTGAACAATGAGCAAAACAAGTAATCTCTATGCTTCCAAATGAGAGAGAAAATAATAAACCAGTAAATATACATTATCAGGGTCCTGGACCCAGTTTGTGCAGACCCCAGATCCACTTGGCCCCACCTGCCTTCCAGGCCTATGCCAGGAGTTACCCCTGCACAGTCCCCTTGGTAGTAAAACCCTAACTTCTTCCTAATTCCTCACAGGTTGAGGAGCTGCTGCAATTCCTGTGCCCAAGTCCAGAATGGCTTCCCTAGCTGCTGCCCCAAGGGACCACATAACACAACAGGAAGGTTCAAGGAGTCAACACTCTGAAGAAGGAATGTAGATCCATAAGAGACAGAGATGGGAAGGAACCAGTAGATGAACGGGAGCTGAGCCACCAGCAATGTCTTCTGGGGAAGCAGTGGCCAGCTTCCCAATGCCTCATCTTGTATCTCCGTTCCCGCATTAGCTGCCTCCCTGCCCTTTTTCGCTGGGATAGCACCCCCCAATAAAACATTAGCACATAACCTTGCTTGGGTTCTTATTATGTAAGGAGCCTGGACTAAGACTGTCTAACAGTCCTAAGAACTAACAGAAAATAAAGCAGGACAAAAAACGACACAATGCCCTGTGAGGGTGCACCCTTAGAGTCGTAATTTCTTTTATCTTTATTTGTTTATTTTTTGAGACAGAGTCTCACTCTGTCGCCCAAAATGGAGTGCAGTGGCATGATCTCAGCTCACTGCAATTCCCGCCTCCCAGGAAAGTGAATCCAAAAGTGAATCACTCTAGACTGGGCAAAGGGTAGAAAACTTGATCTTCTATCTTTCTCATTTGGTTTCACAACCAGCAAGGGAGCAGCATGGCACCCCAGAAGTTTTGCATCCCATGAGCTGTCCTGGAGGTAGGCCCTGGGAGATGCCTGGCAGTCAAAGGCACAGATTTGACCGCCACTACCCCACCTGCCACTCTTTGGTGTCATTGACATGGCAAGACTTCACAAATCCCACAGAGGATCTAGTTCAGTTTGAAATTTTAATCTGATCTTTGCAATTTCCAGGTATGTATTTTATGAAAGAACTTACTGCTCAAATAGTATTTACTTTCTGGCCTAAAATGCATTTACATTTATGGTCCTACATATCAATCAATCCTGTTCCAAGTCAATATCCGAAGCTCTCATATCAAGGAACTCTGTTGTTTGTCGATAACTGGCCCAATGAAAAGTTTATTTTTTTAATCCAGTTGACTCTGCTATACATGATATAGATGTGTGTGTATGTGTATACGTAAATACATACATATATGTTTCTTGTTTCAATAGCTGTATCTTACTAGCATTAAAGAGCTTGCAGTGCTAATAAAAATTAGGGTTAACTGCAAGTTGTGCACATGTACTCTAGAACTTAAAGTATAATAATAATAACAAAAAATTAAAAAAAATCAAAAGCTCAAAAAAATTAGGGTTTAAAGAAAAACATTAGATGAATTAATTTTAACAGAGTTTAATTGAGCAATTCACAAATCGGGCAGTTCCTCAACCAGAGTAGGTTCAGAGTGACTCTGGCAGTTCTGTGTGGTCAGAGAGGATCTATGGACAGAAAAGGGAAAGTGAGATACAGAAAACAGAAGTGACAGGCAGAAACAGCCAGATTGGTTACAGCCATGCATTTGCCCTATTTGAACACGATTTGAACAGGTGGCCGCCTACAAGTGGTTGAAGTATGGCTTCTGTGATGGGCTGAGACTTGGCTACTCATTGCAAGAGTAAGTTACAGTCTGTTTCCACACCCAGTTAGGTTACATCATTATATATGGAGAAACCTTTAGGCCAAATTTACCAAGAGGCAGATTTAAGCTAAACCTAATTTAACTTAAGGTAACACCTACTATTCTATGTACATTATACATGTTAACTCATTCAGAGCTCACAACAACCCTATGGGGGGGTATTATTTTTATCTCCTATTTTACAAGTGAGGAAACTGAGGCACAGAGATGTTAAGTAAAGTCCCCAAGTCACACAGCCTAACAGACTTTGAAGTGTCAAAGATAAACAAAGCCAGACACTACTTAAGGTGGAAACAACAGACTTTAATCAGTAATATGCTATTGCAATAGGGAAGAGCCCAGCATTAAGTGAACTCAACTTCCATTTATATGAAGCTTACTGAGCATTTTATTTTATTTTACTTTATTTTTATAATTTTAAGTTTTTATGGGTACATA